CACGGGCGTCGGAAGAAGAAATGCCCGCACTGTGACGCCACACTGGTGGGACACACGAACCCCAGCGGTCACCGTCGGCGATTCCATCCGGAACATCCTCCACCGCTTCCCGAGCTCAAATGCGATTTCTGTGATATGGTCTTCCCCACACGTAGAAGCACCGCACAGCACAGAAGTCGCTGCGCACACAACCCAGACGCCACACGACATCTAAACAGAAGTGCCAGGAGGCGATCTCTGCTGCCACCGCAGGATCAGCCTGCTTCCACAAGCACGCCAATTGGCCCGCAGGAAACCTTGCACCATCTGCTTCTAGAATGTCCAGGCACCTTGGCTGTGCGCCAAAGACTGGGCATTGCACAGGACCTTCGCCTCGGAAAGTTCTCTCAATGGCAGTTGCTTCACAGCAGGAAACTCATTTCGCTGCTCGACCACCTCCTCGGCAACCAGATGACATCGTATGGCTAGACGTGCCGGTAAGAGTACGGAAAAAATAATAATGAGCATTCTCTCCACTACAGAGACGTGGTGCATCTTGCGATCCCGCTGGCGGCTCTCCCGTTCCACCGCTGTTTTTGCGCAACAATTCATCACCGTCATTTTTGTGATTTGGTCGTCTTCGTGTTGCGCTCCGGGTTCTCCTTCATCGCCTTGCGGTGTTTCCTTCGCCGTCCCTGGCGCCTGTGACTCTCCCGTGACGGTTTGTTCCGAAGCCTGACTGCCCTGGGAGGTCCTCCCGCCACCAGCGTGCACTTCACCTGCTGCCTGCTGAGATGCGTCAGGGCCTGGGGATGTTGTGTCTGCAGCGTGCCCTCCGCCCAAAGACCCTGGTCCACTTGCACGCATCTGAGCAGCAGAAGCACTGCCAGTGCCGGACGGATTGCAATTGTTCTTTTGCATTGGGTCGCTACTGGATTGATCCTGCCTCGTCGGAGCAGTGAGTGATCCTGCGGAGGTGGGGTTGTGGCCCTCACCCGCGGTGTTTTCTCCACCCTCCTCGTCTTCCTCGTCTTCCTCGTCTTCCTGATTGCTATTGTCCTCAGATTTCACATTCCCCTTTCGTCCAGAGCCATCGGCCACGGACCCAAATTCCGCAGCCATCACAGCTGCCGTCGCTCACACGCACGAGCAGCTGCACATCACTGCAGGAGCCAACGGGACGCAGAGAACACGGCCAGTCATCATCACGAACAGTGGAGCCGCCTAACGCTGCGGAGCCGAACTGCAAAAGCATAGAAAACAAAAGGAGACACAGCCGCTACACCACCGCACAGCAACAAATGACAGCACCCCAGCAGCAGCAGCAGCGCACACCACGAGACAGATGGAATCAGTGAAAGGGCAAAAACACACAAAGCCCCCGCAGCAAGCAAACAGAAAAAAACACAAAAACACAATTAGAAACAAAACGCAGGTAAAAAAACAACAATGAAGTAAAAAATGCAAAAACACACAAAAAACAAGGGGCTGCATCGAATGGCTCCAGTGTGCATGCACACGCACCCAAAAATGCGTCCACGCAAAAAAGTTGTATGCGTGTAGTGCATATGAGTGTGTCTGGGATGCGTGCCAAGTGACGGATACAGGGAACAGCAGCATGGAGCACACAGCAGAGCAGCGGAAGCAAATGAAGCAAATCACAATCATCATTTTCTCTTATTTAGTTACATCGGACCACAGTGGACGCACACAAATCCACGCGGTGGAGTGCTGGCACGCACAGCACGCATACACCTCTTCAGCCCACAGCGGTGTACGCCAGCGCGGATACGGCGAGCAGCAGCGGGGCACACATCCACGCAGAGCTGCTGAGGCTGCCGTCCATTTCGCGAAGACGTGACGGTGCGCGGGTGGTTGTCGTAGTTGGCGGTTTTGTTGTCGTATCACGTGGTGCCTTTGTTGTAGTGGTTTTACTTGGCGCCTCTGTGGTAGTCGTCGTTGTGGCCTTATCACTTTGTACCTGTGCCGCGGTCGTTGCGGTCGTTGCGGCAGGATCTTTGGCGTTCGGATCCGTTTGGTCTGCGGACTGACTCGTGCCATTTTTTGACCCTGTCGTACCGTTATTAGTTTCTGTCCGTAACTCATTGGTCGAGTTATTTGGTTTCTTTCCAGGATCGCTCAAACCTTGTCCATCTTCGTCAATTTTTTCCGGTCTCTCACCGGACCCATTACTTGACAAAATTGACTGACCGGCCACCTCTGAGGCTGCCTCCGGTGCAATGGACGGTGGATTGGGTGCGTTTATATTATCTTCACCTTCAGCCGGAATATTCTCTAATGAAAGGCGCGATGGACTGGTGCTTTTTCTCTCAGTATCAGCATCAGGAACAGCAATGATCTCCCGAGTCTCAGCCTTCACACACACGGGCGGGCAGCAGCACAGGGCGAGCACCAACAGGGCGCACAGCAGACGGCACGTCGTCATCATCGTGAGTGTGGTCGTTCAGTGGTGTGGAGCTGATCTGCACAGTGAGGGACATGGAGAGCAACAGGGGAGACGAGAGGTGCGGCAGACACACACAGAGGGCACACCACATGAGGAGAGGGCAGCAGCCAGGCATGCACCGTACGCCGCACACCACGCACGACAAACACTCCAATCCACGGCAGCAGGCGCGCACACACACACACACACACACACACACAGCCCTGCCGCAACACCAACACACAGATGGAAGAGGGAGAAGCAAACAGGAGCGGCACACAAGGCTCCACCGCATGCACATACGGCGAGAGCGGTCCGTCGTGTCGGCACCCCTCATGGAAAACACGCACACACACAAGATGCAGCGCACACAGCAACACAAAAGCAAAGAACAAATTTAAAGGAGAGATCCCCGCACACCACGTGGATTGTTGGTCCACGGGAAGTGCAGCCAATATTCATCACAAAAATAATTCAGTTTCCTTTGGCCCTCCTTCATATTCAGCGCACACCACTTCATGCAGGCCTGGGAACCACAGCAGCAGCAGCCGCACACACAAAAATAAGCGCAGGAAATGGAATAAGGCAAGCAACCATTTATTTGTGTTTCTGTTTGGATGTTGGCAGATGTCCGCATGCTTTGTTTTTTTTTTTTTCGCAGAGGGCAAACCTTCATGCCTGGATCGTGTTTTGGGGATTCCTGCAGGGTGCACAATTATTGTTTCATTCCTCTTGTGAATTTTTCTTGTGTTGGTGCAGCCAATAATTCGATTTGTGTTGTTCCTGCCTTTCGCTGGTAAAGTGTTGCAATAAAGAATAATCATCTGGGCCGCTAGCCAAATCCTGAGTTTCTCAATAATAGAAACCAAACAAGATAGAAATAAGTGAGGGATCAACAGAATAAGAGTGTGGATTCACCACACCCTCAATGCTTAACACCAGGTGACTGCATGTTTATACATTTATACACCATCCGTTAGCCACAATCGTGGCCCGTTCACTCTATTCGGATAGGATGCATATATTTATTTATTTATTACCTACGAGGTGGCAGACTTTGGGGTCCTGCAGTCACAAGACCCCGCCGCGTGGTGGGAACAAAAAGGGGGTGAGTGCGATGGTAAAAATAAAAATAAGAAATTATCCAGCCGCTGTCGGCTCCCTGATGTCCTTAAAGTCGTGGCCTCCCCAAAGTTCATAAGACAGAAAGGTTTCTTAAAGAAGTGTATATTCGTCTTATCAGGGTATGTATATATATATTAACTAAGTTCGCCAGCTCTCCCGCGACCATTCTCTACACAGGCTCCTAAAAGGGCTCAAACACACCCACAAGACTCCCAACAAGAAAAGGTACGCACGGCATGACTGACACGACTCAGAGTCATGTTTCTAAGACAAAGCGTGGATGACTCCGTCGACGCCACACCCGCACCATATGCCATCAACTCCTCCACGGCAATAATCCTGCAGAGTGCGGAGAGGACGTTTCACGAGCGCATTATTGGCGGAGCCAAACAACTGTACCGTCAGCAGATGGCAGCGAGCGGCGGGGGAAAGTGAAGGTGATGGGACTGTTGGGGAGGGTCGATGCGCAGTGTCCCTCACAAATACGAGGCGGGTGAAGTGAAACAAACTCGTCTGAACGTCACCGGCCACCAAGATGCATTGCTCCCCGCTGTAAAGATTGATGAGCTCGAGGCTGGAGCAACTACTCGCAATGCGTGAAAGTGTCTTCCTGCACTGGCGCTGCAATTCACATTAGACGGGCAACTTCAGAACAGTCGATCCCCAGCAGTAAAATGCAGCTGGCAGTGACGCTGTGGATTCTCGATTCCACTGGCAACGGAGGGCGAAGAAGAAAACTGGTCTCCCCAGCTGCGCGGCATCCATCCATTCACTCTGTGCGTCCGGAGTGCCTCGCAGCTGCCTTGAGAGATGCAGCGGACAGACCTCCCTTATTTTCGCCTCGATCCGTCAAAGAAGACTTTCGCGGAGGTGTCGGCACACACCAAAGTCTCCCTCGTGCCCGCCAAACAAAAGACACACCCGTTGAGCATCGTCACGTGCATCGACGGCCACGCAAATAAATATCCACCGCAACGCAAAGTGTTTCTTATTGGGCACAAAAAAAGAAAAAATGGAGGCAGCGGCCTGGACAAAACAGACATCAAATCATACGCCAGGCAACGCTGAGATACATGTGAAAGGGCCAACGCAGGACCAGCAGCACAAACACTCGAGAGCTGCTGCGTGGACCCCACGGTAAATGGATCAGCCTCAACGCATGGGGCACTAATTACGGCGGGTGACAGCGCGAAAGCCAACGGTTCCGCAAGGCCGGGAATTGTGGGGACGGCATTCAAACCCTCCTGAGATTCGTGTACCAAGACACGCAAATAATCCGCCCCTCGGTGCAAGTCGTCACCATAATCCTCATCGCTCCTTTTGCCGTCATTCGTATTGTCACACCCAGAGCCGTTGAGGAAAGATGCTGCCATGATAATTGTGGCATCACACTGAATGAAAGAACACAATGCCTCGAAGGGCGCCAAGTGCAGGCATCCCGTCAGGCAGCGACACGGCGCATTCTTGGCAATGTACGAAGCACAGGCAACGAAACAGCTTTCATCCGCCATCGTAATCGCGTCCAGCAGGTTCGCCCTCTTGTTCCTCGGCGCCTCATTCTCCGCAGCACCAACAGCCGCTGCCACAGGTCACGCTGCTGCCGCAATCGCCCCCACGGAGAGACAAGGAAGAGTGTGTGGAAGTGTATGCCGAGAACACAGCGACTGTCATCGCCGGAGAAGGCCATCGTGCAGCCGGGTCATCATTTCAGCACACACCAAGCAACACACACCCGGCAGTGCAAATACATTCTTGCAGACCACTGTGCAAGTACTTATGTGTGTGGGCGTCTGTTGGAGGAGCAGAAAAAAAAAGAGGAGCACAGGGAGGCACATCAGCACAGCAAGAGGCACAGCTGGATGGCAGCGATGCATGCGGTACGGCACAACCTCAACAATCACGCACGGTGGCAGCACACACCATCCACAAAAACAAAAAAAAAGAAAAAAAAGAAAAACACGGCGGCAGGGTGTGGCTGTGTGTGGCGCTGCGAGTGTCTGCCCGCCCTGACCGCAAGAAAACAAAACAAGAGGGAAAGAAATGTGTGCTCCGCCCCACAGGCCCTCGTCGCACGCCCACACGTCACGGCTCCCTCAGCGCGCCGTTCGTCGCGGCCCCTCCTCATGCGTGCAGCAGGCGAGGCGCACAAGGCCGTCGTCATGAGCGTGTCGGTGGGTGTGCGAGTGGAGCAGTTGGACGGGAAACACACGGCACCCCTCGCAGGAAGAGTGCAGAAGAAACAATTAAAAAAAGAGGGAAGAGTAGAAAAAAAAAAAAAGTCCATAGTGATTGCCCCAAAAAGCAAAAAAGAAGGATGGGGGATGAGAAAAAAAAAAAAAAAAACGAACAGAAAAAAACAGGAAAGTAGAAAGCAGAAAAATAAATTTAAAATACGCAAAAAAAAAAAAGTAAAAGTATGAGAGATATTATTTATCGGGGAATAGTATTTCTGTGCTCGAGAGGGCGCAGGTATTCCACGCGGCAGCCAGTCACTCCTCACAGAGCCGCAAACCCCCACAATCCCAACAGAAGGAGCAGCGGCAGCAGCCCGCTTCTGTAAACATTGCCAGCATCACCCGTTGCTTCTCCAACGGCATGGGACCCCGGAGCCGTCGGCACTTGCTGTGTGGTGGCAGGCTTCCCCTCCGTTTTCAGTTCATCCCCTGTTTTGGTACGAGAAACAGCTCCCGCTGGTGACGCAACATCTTTTTCCACTTCGGCATCGGGGCCAAAAGAAGTCAACGGGCGGTTGTACAGCATGACGTTCCTCACAGTCACAGAGACGTCTCCTTGGCCCCCTGTGCTGCCTCCATCCCCTCCAATGTAGAAGTGGGAGATCTCTTGCGGTTCTGTTGCCTCCAATCCACGTTGCGCACTCCCACACACACGCTGACCATCGACGTACACGGAGCCCTGTTTTTCGTTCTGTAGCACAATGCCCACTTGGTACTGTGTCTCTGTCTCCCAAGTGCTTTTAAGCTTCTTGGTTGTTCCGTCACTGCACAGCACCTGCCACTTCTTTCCACTGCCGTACGACAACTCCATAAGTTTTTTTCCACCGTCAGTACCTGCACGCACACCCATCAAAGGGACGCTGCCACTCTTCGGCTCACCGTGGATGGACACCGTCGCCAAAAGAGTGAAGTTGTAGTTTGCAAAGTGGTACAGCTGATTCTCCCCCTGACTGCCAACAGGCCACTGCGCCCCTGCACCGCTTCCTGTGAACGTCACTCCATCGCCATGCAATGTTGCCACCCCATTCGTTCCTTTCTTTACTGTGGCGTCCACCCCGAGGTACTCGTCCCTCCATTTGTTATCAGAGAAATTGCCGGACAAAAAGCCAACCAGCCCATCCGTGACCTTATCAGTAGTGCAGGCAGTGTCAGATGATTTACTCACCGCAGCACTTGAAGTGGGGCACAGCTTGGAGACACGTTCGTCCACTTTCTTCCAGGTCGCCAGCACATCCCTCACCCGCTGCAGCTGCGCAGTCAGACGCACTGAGACCATGCCGAGTGATGGTTTCCCATCGCCCTTCTTCTTCTCGTACAGTGCAATCAACTTCTCATTATTATTATTATTTCCACTTCCAGCTCTTTTGTACAACAGGGAGCTGGCGGTGACGTCTTCGTCCTTCCCGGACACCGGCCCAATATCAACAATGTGAGTATTGTCCGTCAGCCAAAGATGGAGTTCGCCCTTTTTATTTTCTTTTTGTTTTTCTTTGGCATACACCGGCAGAGTAACGAGCATCACGTTTCTGTTCTCAATCGTCGCTGTGATGAAACCGCTTCTAACGCCCTTCTCATTTCCCTTTTGGTTGTTGAACCACACGCGCGAGAGTGTCTCGAAAGCCTCCGTCCACGATTCCCCCTTGTCACCGGACTCGTACACCCTGCGGCGGCCATCATCACACGCAGTCATCATCATGAGTTTTCCCTTCTCCCGCTCCACGACGGAGGGATCACTGCAGCCATCGGCAGACATCCCCTTCGACAGCTTCCCACTCTCAGTGGCTGAGGAGTATATGATCAGCGAAACGGCCTTTCCATCCTTCGTTCCTTCCACGGGCAACACAAGCGCACCGTCCTTCATCTGAACACCCGATCCACCGCTGCCAATCAGCCCTGTCAAGGATTTGTGTTGTTTTTCAAAATCAGTCCACGGGATAACGGAAGTGTCTTTCCAATAAATTTTTTTATCGCTGCTCCCATCAATACTGACGTTTCCCACAGCCCCCAAAAGTCCCCATTTAGCTGCTGCAGCGGTCTGATCAACGCCTTCAGTAACTTCAAAACCGTAGGTTCCGGCAAACATGTAAATACGACTCCCATTCACAATTGTTGTTGGCCGGCTCACACGTACTTTTTTCCGGCTTTGGGAGGCGTCCTGAGCTCCTGCTTGGGAGGCACAACCCTTATTTCCGGCAGGACATTCCTCCAGTACCTGTGTCTTCAGTTTAGTTGTATCAAACTCCTCTTTTGATGGTTCATCAGTCAACGTCAGGAGTTTCGAAGCAATCCCAGTAAAACCGCTCTTACTGGCTTCCGTGCACTGCGCCTCGGCAACGGCAAACACATCACCATCCATCTCAACAAGAACTGGAACACTTAAAGAACTCACTGTTTCTCTATCATTTGTATCTCTCCAATCAAAGTATTTCTTCCGTGAATATCCCCGAGTTGAAGCCCCTGAAACACTGTTCTCAGTGGCTGCAGCTCCACCAGTGTCGCAGCACATCATAACGACGAGGAGGAACAGCACCGCGGAAGTAAACACACGCCGGGACATGTTGGGCCTCTGCGGCTCACTCTCTCTTCCTTCCCTCCTCCTTCCGCTGGATCCGGTCACGCGGCGACGGTTGTGTGTGCGGGGTGCCTTCACTGCAGCAACACTTGAGAGCATATAAATATGTTTGTGTGGGCGGTGTGTGTGCTGTTGTTCCTTTCAGTGCCTTCGAATTTCACAGTAGCGTTTAGTGCTTGTTTGCTTTCTTCGTAAGAGAGTGACAGAAATGAAGAAAAACAGGCTAATAAAAAGGGGTGAAAGAATAAGCACCGCCACCCATCCACAGTGAGTGGCGCCATCATCCCCGCCGCAGTCACTCCCAGCAACAACAATTTACGCACACAGACACACGGAACGAGAAGGAAGAACAGTGCACCGGGAACACACAGCGACTGTTGACACCAGCAGGAGCCACGGCGGGTGATTCATTATTTGCAAGTCAGCACACACCGAGCGACACCCACACCCAGCAAAGCAACCAGCAAATTACAAAAGAGCACAACCGTCCTTCGCAGCAATAAAGCGCTGCCGCCGGTCGTTTTAATTCTTGTCCCTCCAGCGCACCCACTCGACCGCCGGCGCAAATCACCCCGCACAGCCGACGAATCCCACATCGGCCGATGAGCAGCAAAAGAGACACGGCAGCAACTGGACGAGAAGCAATCCGCACTTGTCCCAGGCACCTTAACCCACACCGCCCAATCGACTGCACGCCTGCAACATGTCAAAAGTAAATCGCATGATCCCGTCCTCCCTTCTCGCAAGGGACTTCGCAGCAAGAATCTTCTGCGTGCGTCCTCAGCAATCACGCCGCTCTACAGAGTATGCATAATGGTGTGTGTGTGTGTGTGTGTGCATGTGTGTTTGTCAGTGGATATACTTGCAGGGCAGCTGTGCGCCACAAGAGAGTCAGAAGAAAGCAACGGCAGAGAGAGGCAGATAGAACACACGCAAATTACTCATATCATCACACACAAACACACACACGCAGCCCGCGGAATGGGTGCTCTCAACCACAAAACAATGAAAAACAATAAAAAAGCCGAAGCGTGGGACGACCAGCGCACACACTCTCATTGCTCCCGTAAAGCAAAACACACACACACAGGGAGAGAGAGAGAGGTCGCCCACTCAATGCAATAAAAACAAAACAGAAACAGTTACGGTGCTCCGCCCATGCAGCCAGGCAGGACGGCAGCGGTGCGTGTCGTGCAAAAGAGAGCACCAACGGGCCTGCATGGGTGTGCATGCAATATATACAATGGGCACATTATGTGTGTGCCTCGTGGGGTGAGGTGAGGGCGAGAGTCCATGCAAGGGGACACACACAGAGAGTGGGTGAAAGACGAGTGTGTGTGCGGGCGGTGCACGGCTCTCTCTCCCTCACTCTCACGCGGCCACCACCGCAGCAGCAGCCGCACACGCAACAACAAGAAGCAAAAGAGGGGAGGTGGAGTGGGAGACAGCGGTGCCGCCGTCACTGTTGCCAGTCATCGGCGTAGTGGTTTTCGTGGCTGTGGCTTCTCCTGGTGTTTCCTTCGGATTGGCTTCTTTATTTTCATCTTGTTTTTCTTCTTGTGTCTCTGCACCATCGGATTCCGGTGCATTGTTCGGAACTTCTTCTCCAGTGTCCGTGTCCTTTTCGTTGCTATCATCATTATCGCTGGCAACCGGGGGTGTTGGTGTGGCTGATTCGGCTTCACTGGTAGATGTTTCCTCCTGATCGGTGTCTGTGATTGTTTCAGTGTCCCCTTCTCTCGAATCGTTTGTTGACTTCGTGCTTACTGGGCTTTTCTCTGAATTTGGTACCGGCACGTCATCTGCATTGGCAGGTTGTCCTCCCACTGGCGAGGATAGTGGTCCTTTTGTTGGTTTCGCTGGTGGATCCGCCAGAGGTGCCTCTTCCGGTGTTTTTCCCAAGTCTCCTTCGTTTCCCAGTGCTTCTGGAACTGATACTTTCACTGAATTTTCCGTAACTGGCGACAGTTGGGTTTGCTGTTTTGGGCATTTGACTTCATCTGGTTTTTCAGCGTACTTTTTGCAAACACCCTCAACATTAGGGAATTCAGTTTCCATGAACAGATTAGAGTAAACACCTTTACAAAGCTCATGCATGGCACGATGTACACAACAATTCACGGCCAAATTCTTCGAACTCAAATTCTTTTCGTTAGAATTTTCCGCCTCGCATTCGTTCTTTAGCAGTTCTTTCCAATTTAGGAACAAATACTCAAACTCACTGCCATCAGAAACACCGCCAGCATCATTGACCGCAATTCCAAATACACCGCACCACAGCACGCAGAGGGTACACACCAGCAGCACACGGCCAGTCATCATCATCGCCATCACTCCTGTCACTTGCGTGCAGCCTTCAGCACAAACTAACTCCCCGTCAACGCAAAGGAAGCAATACGAGAGACACGCCACACAGCCACGCCACCGCAAAGTGTCAAATGGCAGCAGTGGCAGCGCACACACCATGAGTCAGTTGGAATCAGTGAAAGGGCAAAAACACACACAACGCCGCAGTAATTGATCAGTAAGAAAAACACACAAGAAAAAATTAAAAACAAAAAACAACAGTAAACAAACAGCAATGAAGTAAAAAATGTAAAAACACACAAAAATAAGGAGCTGCATCGAATGGCTCCAGTGTGCATGCACACGCACCCAAAAATGCGTCCACGCAAAAAAGTTGTATGCGTGCCGTGAATACGAGTGTCTGGGATGCGTGCCAAGTGACGGATACAGGAAACAGCAGCATGGAGCACACAGCTGGGCAGCGGAAGCAAATGAAGCAAAACACAATCATCATTTTCTCTTATTTAGTTACATCGGACCACAGTGGACGCACACAAATCCCCGCGGTTGAGTGCTGGCACGCACAGCACGCATACACCTCTTCAGCGCACAGTAGTGTACACCAGCGCGGATACGGCGAGCAGCAGCGGGGCACACACCCACGCAGAGCTGCTGAGGCTGCCGTCCATTTCACGAAGACGTGACGGTGCGCGGGTGGTCGTCGTGGTTGGCGCCTCTGTAGACGTAATTGGTGCCTCTGGCGCAGTGGTCGTCGTCGTTGTTGTAGTGGTCGTCGTGGTCGTAGTTGGTGCGGCGGCCTTTTTTTGTTCATTTGACGTGTTAGTGTTCGCATTTTCCGCCTTTTCATTAGTGGATTTCTCACCTTCTTGTTCCAGTTTCGTATCATTGAGATTCCTTTGCGACTGTTCCAATTCGGTTACTTTAGCCTTTGTCTGTGACGTATGAGACACCGTATCCGGTACATGGTTTATTTCTTTTCCTTTTTCGTTTGTCTGTGGCTGAGGGGTTATAATGGGCTGATCCCTCGCCTGACCTCGTCCCCCGGTGTTTTCATCATTTTGATCGGAATCCTTTCCACCTTTACCTGTTGCATCTCCACTCTGCGTCACGCACACGGACGGGCAGCAGCACAGGGCGAGCACCAACAGGGCGCACTGCAGACGGCACGTCATCATCATCGTGAGTGTGGTCGTTCAGTGGTGTGGAGCTGATCTGCACAGTGAGGGACATGGAGAGCAACAGGGGAGACGAGAGGTGCGGCAGACACACACAGAGGGCACACCACATGAGGAGAGGGCAGCAGCCAGGCATGCACCGTACGCCGCACACCACGCACGACAAACACTCCAATCCACGGCAACACGCACACACACACACACACACACACACAGCCCTGCCGCAACACCAACACACAGATGGAAGAGGGAGAAGCAAACAGGAGCGGCACACAAGGCTCCACCGCATGCACATACGGCGAGAGCGGTCCGTCGTGTCGGCACCCCTCATGGAAAACACGCACACACACAAGATGCAGCGCACACAGCAACACAAAAGCAAAGAACAAATTTAAAGGAGAGATCCCCGCACACCACGTGGATTGTTGGTCCACGGGAAGCGCAGCCAATATAAATCACAAAATAACTTTTTATATTGTGTTTGTCGCGCCGGAATGAGTAAATAGCGCAAGGGCTGCCCGTACAAAAGTGGCAAGTATGCAGTCGCATGCGGGCCGTCGTGCACGCTGGGACAGTCCCAAACAGTCGCAGTCCTTAGTCTCAACGACAGGGCATTCCCGCAGTAGATGAAGCGGAGTCTCCCGTGATCCGTCGGGGATCAGCAGTACGTGGCGTCTGTGATGAAGCGGTGGCGGAAGAGTCGGTCCACCTCGAGTTTCCGCGTTTGTGCTTCCTGCGTGCCTTGCCTGCTGGCATGCCTGGCGCCTTCGGTGGCGGCCTGTGCGCGAGGCACCTGTTAAGAAGACGGCGGAGCCATTGCGGCATCCGCATGTGAGGCCTCTCAAACTATCGGAACGCCAGGCTGAGCACGTCGAGCATGTACCCTCATACTGCGGACAAACAAGCGCACTCTGCCGCAGATTGGGCAGGAGAATTTCGATCCGCCGCTCGCTGGTCGACAAGGAGTTGTGGTGCTCACGTCTGGAAGAAGCTCCGGCGGAGGCAGAGGCGGGCCGCTCACCGCAGTGAGGGAGGGACGGCGCCACCGACACAGGGAGTTACTTGTGATCCGCAGGGCGCGCGCAGGTCTGACGAAAAGCGGGCAGGAGTCGCATCGCGCCTGTGCGCAGTGCCGCCATTCGGGGACCGATGTCCGGGTCAACGCCAGGAAGAAAGTTCCGCCACACCGTCGACCGCCTGTCATGCGGTGTGCGCGCCTTCCTTTTCCTCCCGGACTTTCTTTCAGTACGGCCGCTTCACTGCAGCGAGGGAGCCCACGTGCTAGGCATTGGCGCAGTCCTGCGGGAGGGATCGTGCCATGATGGCGTCAGCGTCCGCTGTCACGTTGCGTGGGATTCCGCAGTGTCATGGTGAACATTTGAAGCCAACTGCGCGAACTCGATCCACCAGCAAAAGCGGCACGGCACAAATTTCCTCGGTGACGTCGTCGTGCACCGCCAGCGGGCCAAGGCGAAGTGATTCCATCGCCGAGAGGGAGTCTGTGGCGGCAGGAACTCGTGTGGGCGATTGGGATGCTGCTGCCAGACGGGGAACTGGGAACTGTCTGAGGCCATGCTCGGTGGCAGGACACTCCGCTCGGCAGGTGCATGCAAGGCTGTCAGCAGCTGTGCGGTGAGGCCCCACAGGGAGCTCGGCTGTCCGGGGAGTCAAGTGGCATTGCAGCGGATCCAGATGCATGCTGAGCGAGAGACGACGAGCCATCCGGGGCGTCTTGGGCGTGCCGTGGCTGGAAGACGCTCACCTCGTCGCAGTTCACAGTGTCGCAGACGAAAATTCGCTGCCCAGCATGAGGGGCGTGGGGGTGGTGCGGGAAGATCCTCATGTGGCTACAGACGCGTCGCATTCCGTCAAGTACAGCATCGCCCGGCAGCGGAATACTCGTTGCCGCCTTCCTAAGTGTTGGCTAAACTCTGGTTTCCGAGCAGGTCACGCCACGCACGTCCCCAATATGTCGGAGAAGTGGGAGGCGTTCGTGCCGTGTGGGTGCGCGGAACTCAATGATCCTCCGCAGCGCTGTTTAATTGGCTTACAGGTGGACAGAAGTATCCTTCGTTGATGCGCGTGGGCCGAGCCATGTCGCACTTCCAGGCTGTGGAGGTGAATGGGAGCCGGACACGGAGCGGTTGCCTCGCCGCCGTGTTGCAACACACTGCGGACGCAAACAACCGGAAAGGACTGCATGGTGCTGCTGCGGCGCCCCAGCTCCTGTGCCCAGCCGCGGCCGACGGCGGCGTGGCACGGTCTACTTTGATGTCTGTGTGAAGAATTTTACTGTTTTTAAATTTTGTTACGGACCGATGTTGCATTGGCATTTCCTGATGTGGTAGGAGCATTGAGTTTCTGAAGATGTCGTTGCAGGTGTTCGGCGTCGTTGTGAATCACAGATGTGCGCCTGCCTCCGTGAAGGCGACAACAATGTCCTCGGATTACAGCATAAGGCACTGCGGCTTAATCTGGTGTTTTACAACAATTTTATTGGACGGTGCGTTTGTCTTAAATCTTTTGCAGATTTTGTGGGAAAGGTGGGAGGTTGAGGGCATTAGGACTGAATTCATTTGAGTGGCTGCGTTCCGTTGACTTGCGGCCAGTCGTGGCACTCTTTTGGGGTTTGGCGGCTCGTCTCTTTTGTTTAATTCCCACCACAGCACGTGGATATCACTGATCCGAAGAGCATTTGTTTGACCGCGTGTGAGCTGCTGCCGTGCGTGGTGCATGGACTATGTGATTGTGTGAGGTGCATTGGAGTGACGAATACTTCTGTTTGGCGTGTCGCGGTGTGTCGGAATGATGTTCGGATGACATGTGGAGGGTGTTGTTTGTGATTTGTGTGTCTTCTCTGGTGGAGCCGACATGTGTGCGGGGATTGTGGCATTGCTGGCTGACAGCTCCACGTCACTTTTCAGCATTCCTGGATGTGCTGAGGAATGACGGCTGGCGACCAGCGTGTTGGTGCTGCTGGTGGGAATAAGTGCATCGGGAATAGGCCGTTTTCTCTTTTCCGTGCTGGAGCCGACGAACTGGCACGAGGGCACCGGCTGCAGGCTGCCTGCCAGCACGTGTGAGCAGCGGATCCATGCACACACAGACGCTCATCGCAAGAGCGTGTGCGATCACAGTGGCCTTTTGTGGCGTGCTTTTGTGGACGTCAGCCCATCGAAGAATGTGTGAAGCAAACGGCTGACTGCACACGAGGGAAATAGGTGCGTGCACTGTGCCGTGTTTTAGCGTTGATGGCAGAGCGGCAGGAAGCCCGTGCTGGCAACTGAGATCTTTGCGTCGCGAGGGATGTCGGTGTTGATTTTGGATCGTCGAGGGTGAAGTGATTTTGCCGCTGCCCGTGTGTGTGGCCACTCCGGCAGAGGGCGGACACAAAAGGGAGGGATGCAGGCGCTGCGTGTGTGTGTGCAGGTGCCATGCAACAACGCCACAACAAACATGCTGCGACTCGGTGACCCTCACATCGTTGCGGTCCTCACGAACAGCCGAGGCACGGCCCACATCGATGTACTTAGTGGACGGATTGAGGCATCCTTTGAGGCGCAGCAGGGAACAGGATGTGTTGACGCAGCCACGACGTGCATGGAGTGTCACGATGGCACAGTCAGCTGCGGCTGGTGGAATATTTACTTCTCGGAGGCAACACAGACAGAGAGAGAGAGAGAGCTGCTCCTGCTGCTGGCGTCGTTGCTGCCTTTTGTGGCCTCCCATGCCGATTATTGTCTGTCCGCTGATCATGGGTGGCATTCCTCCACTAGTAACGTCGTCTGCAGGCATTTCACAGCACTAGTGAAGCACACATCACGTCGCATGCTTTGGCTGTGGATGTGGTGTTGTGAATGCAGCCGGCATTATTTTGCCGACTCCTTTTCACTGCTTTGCGACGAATAGATGCGTCCCCGCCCGAGTCATTCACTGCAGCTCCGTGTGTTGTACTGCCAGCACACGACTCTCTTGTTGTCTGGCGCCTGGCTGACAGTCAAACACCACTGCGTTGGGACATGCAGGGATGTGGACTGCCGCTCACGGTGTTGGGCACCGCTGTTTGGATGCGGCGGCCACACGAGCGGATGTATTGTGGCGCAATCAAATGCGTGAATTACGCGGAATCACTGCGACTGCAATAATATCAACGGTGTGGCACCACGGAGTATGTGAGGGGGTGATGCATGATGAATCACAGTGGGCGGCATGCGAGAGAAGTGCACCGCGACGGAGCGTCACCCTGCCCTCAGCCTGCAGGGGAATGTACACCCACAAAATATATGGACGAGACACCACCAAACACACATGCCCTTCCATGCACCAATAAATAGGAGCGAGGGTGCGTTCTGGTGTGTGGGAGTCCACTCACATATTTTTATTTCCACCACAATAAACGGTGAGGAATCAGGTGCCACAGCAACGAAAGGAAAATCAAACATCTATTGCAACAATTTACCAGCGAGAAGCAGGAACAACACAAATCGAATTCTTGGCTTCATCAACACAAGAAACATTCACAAGAGGAAAAAACAAATTGTGCACCCTGCAGAAATCCCCAACACACGACCCAGGCATGAGGGTTTGCCCTCCGCAAAAAAAAAACAAAGCATGCAGACATCTGCCAACATCCAAACAGAAACAAATAAATGGTTGCTTGCCTTATTCCATCCACTGCACTTATTTTTGTGTGTGCGGCTGCTGCTGCTGTGGTTCCCAGGCCTGCATGAAGTGGTGTGCGCCGAATATGAAGGAGGGCCAAAGGAAACTGAATTATTTTTGTGATGAATATTGGCTGCACTTCCCGTGGACCAACAATCCACGTGGTGTGCGGGGATCTCTCCTTTAAATTTGTTCTTTGCTTTTGTGTTGCTGTGTGCGCTGCATCTTGTGTGTGTGCGTGTTTTCCATGAGGGGTGCCGACACGACGGACCGCTCTCGCCGTATGTGCATGCGGTGGAGCCTTGTGTGCCGCTCCTGTTTGCTTATCCCTCTTCCATCTGTGTGTTGGTGTTGCGGCAGGGCTGTGTGTGTGTGTGTGTGTGTGTGTGCGCGCCTGCTGCCGTGGATTGGAGTGTGTGTCGTGCGTGGTGTGCGGCGTACGGTGCATGCCTGGCTGCTGCCCTCTCCTCATGTGGTGTGCCCTCTGTGTGTGTCTGCCGCACCTCTCGTCTCCCCTGTTGCTCTCCATGTCCCTCACTGTGCAGATCAGCTCCACACCACTGAACGACCACACTCACGATGATGATGACGTGCCGTCTGCAGTGCGCCCTGTTGGTGCTCGCCCTGTGCTGCTGCCCGTCCGTGTGCGTGACGCAGAGTGGAGATGCAACAGGTAAAGGTGGAAAGGATTCCGATCAAAATGATGAAAACACCGGGGGACGAGGTCAGGCGAGGGATCAGCCCATTATAACCCCTCAGCCACAGACAAACGAAAAAGGAAAAGAAATAAACCATGTACCGGATACGGTGTCTCATACGTCACAGACAAAGGCTAAAGTAACCGAATTGGAACAGTCGCAAAGGAATCTCAATGATACGAAACTGGAACAAGAAGGTGAGAAATCCACTAATGAAAAGGCGGAAAATGCGAACACTAACACGTCAAATGAACAAAAAAAGGCCGCCGCACCAACTACGACCACGACGACCACTACAACAACGACGACGACCACTGCGCCAGAGGCACCAATTACGTCTACAGAGGCGCCAACCACGACGACCACCCGCGCACCGTCACGTCTTCGCGAAATGGACGGCAGCCTCAGCAGCTCTGCGTGGATGTGTGCCCCGCTGCTGCTCGCCGTATCCGCGCTGGCGTACACCGCTGTGGGCTGAAGAGGTGTATGCGTGCTGTGCGTGCCAGCACTCCACCGCGTGGATTTGTGTGCGTCCACTGTGGTCCGATGTAACTAAATAAGAGAAAATAAGTAATGATTGTGATTTGCTTCATTTGCTTCCGCTGCTCTGCTGTGTGCTCCATGCTGCTGTTCCCTGTATCCGTCACTTGGCACGCATCCCAGACACACTCATATGCACTACACGCATACAACTTTTTTGCGTGGACGCATTTTTGGGTGCGTGTGCATGCACACTGGAGCCATTCGATGCAGCCCCTTGTTTTTTGTGTGTTTTTGCATTTTTTACTTCATTGTTGTTTTTTTACCTGCGTTTTGTTTCTAATTGTGTTTTTGTGTTTTTTTCTGTTTGCTTGCTGCGGGGGCTTTGTGTGTTTTTGCCCTTTCACTGATTCCATCTGTCTCGTGGTGTGCGCTGCTGCTGCTGCTGGGGTGCTGTCATTTGTTGCTGTGCGGTGGTGTAGCGGCTGTGTCTCCTTTTGTTTTCTATGCTTTTGCAGTTCGGCTCCGCAGCGTTAGGCGGCTCCACTGTTCGTGATGATGACTGGCCGTGTTCTCTGCGTCCCGTTGGCTCCTGCAGTGATGTGCAGCTGCTCGTGCGTGTGAGCGACGGCAGCTGTGATGGCTGCGGAATTTGGGTCCGTGGCCGATGGCTCTGGACGAAAGGGGAATGTGAAATCTGAGGACAATAGCAATCAGGAAGACGAGGAAGACGAGGAAGACGAGGAGGGTGGAGAAAACACCGCGGGTGAGGGCCACAACCCCACCTCCGCAGGATCACTCACTGCTCCGACGAGGCAGGATCAATCCAGTAGCGACCCAATGCAAAAGAACAATTGCAATCCGTCCGGCACTGGCAGTGCTTCTGCTGCTCAGATGCGTGCAAGTGGACCAGGGTCTTTGGGCGGAGGGCACGCTGCAGACACAACATCCCCAGGCCCTGACGCATCTCAGCAGGCAGCAGGTGAAGTGCACGCTGGTGGCGGGAGGACCTCCCAGGGCAGTCAGGCTTCGGAACAAACCGTCACGGGAGAGTCACAGGCGCCAGGGACGGCGAAGGAAACACCGCAAGGCGATGAAGGAGAACCCGGAGCGCAACACGAAGACGACCAAATCACAAAAATGACGGTGATGAATTGTTGCGCAAAAACAGCGGTGGAACGGGAGAGCCGCCAGCGGGATCGCAAGATGCACCACGTCTCTGTAGTGGAGAGAATGCTCATTATTATTTTTTCCGTACTCTTACCGGCACGTCTAGCCATACGATGTCATCTGGTTGCCGAGGAGGTGGTCGAGCAGCGAAATGAGTTTCCTGCTGTGAAGCAACTGCCATTGAGAGAACTTTCCGAGGCGAAGGTCCTGTGCAATGCCCAGTCTTTGGCGCACAGCCAAGGTGCCTGGACATTCTAGAAGCAGATGGTGCAAGGTTTCCTGCGGGCCAATTGGCGTGCTTGTGGAAGCAGGCTGATCCTGCGGTGGCAGCAGAGATCGCCTCCTGGCACTTCTGTTTAGATGTCGTGTGGCGTCTGGGTTGTGTGCGCAGCGACTTCTGTGCTGTGCGGTGCTTCTACGTGTGGGGAAGACCATATCACAGAAATCGCATTTGAGCTCGGGAAGCGGTGGAGGATGTTCCGGATGGAATCGCCGACGGTGACCGCTGGGGTTCGTGTGTCCCACCAGTGTGGCGTCACAGTGCGGGCATTTCTTCTTCCGACGCCGTGTGGAGGGCCGTCTCTCCAAGGGCGGTGTGTCGGCCTCCCTTGTCGTCGGGGGAACAGCTTCCGTCCCCGGTGCAGTGGGATCGTCGTTGGAGCGCATGAGAGCGGAGTGTTCCGGTGAGATGTTGCAGAAACGGCATTGGTTCGTGCAATCTCTCACAGCCCAGTATAGTCGGCCCCAGAGCTCGGATTCCCCGCACCTTGCTCATGCAGTGTTTGTCCGTTCCTGTTGGTCGAGGGCTTCCTGAGTAATCGGTTGCTTGCCGCCTGGATCTGATGGCCTGGCGCCGCCAAGCAGGTAGTGGTGGGTGTCCTGATGCATGGTACTAGGCCACTTGTTGGTGAGCAGGGTAGTAAAACATGTCAGCGGATCCGTATGCCATAAAGGTGCGATTCCTTGCTCCGTGTATTGTCCAGTCTCCATAGTCTGCGTCGCATACTGATCTGCAAGCTCGTTAGCATGTACTCCACAATGTCCGCAACAAAACTTCGGGTGCACGGACCAGCCAGCACACGTCAGTGTCAAGAGACGCTGCCAGATCCGGTCCTCCGTCCAGTCTGTCTGACTGAGCGGGCCCTTATTTAAAGCCGCAAGAAGAGACTGACTGTCTGTAACCCCAAGCAGGGTTTTATGCCTGTGTTGAATACGAGGGGTAATCAGCCTCTCCAGGGCTAGAAGCAGCGCACGGGATTCCGTCCTGTAGCTGCATGGGCGTGCACCGCAGTTTATACTGGCCTTTCCTATTATCTCCGATGAATTGAGGGATGAAAGCAGTATTCCAACCCCGGCTGACTTGGAAACGTCGACACCGCCATCCGTCGCGACTATCCAAGTTCCCCAGCGATGAAGTCGCACCCTGTCGCGGTGCTGGGGCTCTGGTTGCATATAGGAACTCCGCTGCGGTGCATTGCGGCAAACACGACGGAGAACAAGACGACTCCTCCCCTCGAGAGGGTTCCACGCCATGCCCGGTGCGGGGAGGTGAAGCGGTCTGCCTGCAGGCTGTCGGACAAAACTGCACGGCCGTTTCGCTGCGGTCACTCCGTTGATATCACCCGTTGCGGTGAATTACAAAAGAACCCTGGAACCGAGGAGGATGGCTTCATCACTATTTGGCGGCTTAACATTGCAGGCCTCTCGTCCGTAAAAAATATTGCATCTGCTGTGCGTTTGGAGCAGCATCCACCTGTCATCGTTCTTCTCCAGGAAACAAATACTCGAAGTGCCACAGCGGCAAAACTATATGGCCATAATGACTACCTTCAGGCCTCACTGGGCGCGCTGGTGGCGTTGCCACTCTGGTGCGTCACTCTCTGCCGTGCGAGCGCCTGTCGCTCCCTGGCACTGACCTCCTGGAGGCCATTGCTATCCGTGCATTTCCACCGGGCTGTCCCAGCACCTGCGTGGTGAATCTCTACAGCCCTCCCACAGCAACCGTTCAAAGCTTTTCGTTTATTAGTGCCATTCGTCGCTTAGGCCCCGCAGCTATTATCGCGGGTGACCTGAATTTGCATCATGGACTCTGGGACAGTCACATACCTTCAACGACTGGAGGAGAGGATTTGTCCTCTACTTTAATTGAAATGGATTTTGGGCTGGCAAATGACCCGGCGCAGGCAACACGGAGCACAAATCGTAATGTCTCGTTCCCTGACGTGGCTGCGTGACGCGTACTGCGTGTCACCCACTGGCAATCGGCCCCCTACATGGATTCGGACCACTGCTTAATATCTTACTCGGTGGGGATGGACGATGGCATTCCGCGAATAGCCAACACGCTGCCTCGGCGGGAGAAAGCCACCTTCGCCCTTCGCAAAGCGGATTGGCCTACTTCCACCTCGTTGTGTAAAACAGTCCTTGCCGCCGCGTCCACATGGTTGGACATTCGCAGTGGTATCTTGCGAGCAGCTGAGCGCCATATCCCGCGCGGCAGCCGTGACAGCCCAAAACGATCTGGACAAACAAAATGGAACAAGCCGAGTCCGTCGCGGAAGCAGCACACAAAGCACACATCGCCTCACCAGGAGACAGCCTGCTTCGAGCCGAATTAATCCAAAAAGTGGAGGAACAAAATCAAGCCTTACGCCGTGGCTTCGCTATGCTTCTGGAAGCCCGCGCGAAAGGACGTGGAGCCTCACCCAGCCCAAGCTGGCGATATCTTCGCGGCGTGGCGGCGCCGCACCCTCATCCTCTGGAATCGGTTGTGCTCCGCACTGATCTTCGGGCCGCGTCTGTGCTCTGCCTCGGCAACAGGCAAATCTGCTTGTCAGTCATTTTGTGCGGGTTTCACGTGCCACATTACCTTATACTGCTGCTGCACTCCCTTGCCCCCTGGTGACTGGGAAATGGATCGGCCTTTCACGCCGTATGAACTTGACGTGACCATCCGTGACTTTTCGCTCGGCTCAGCCCCTGGCCCCGACGACATGTTGAATGAGTTCCTGCACCATCTCGGGCCCGTTGCGTGCGGCACACTCTTAGAACGATGATCCACAGCTCCTTCGCAAATGGCAGCCTGCCTGGCTCCTGGAATACGGTGGACACTATTCCCATTCCCCAACCTGGGAAGGATCCATGCCGCCCAGAGAGTTACAGACCTATCACGCTGCTCTCTGTTTTACTAAAATTAACCGAAAGAATGATTCATCGCCGTCTGTCAGCGTTATTGCCGCACCACCCACGTCAATTTGGATTTACACCTTCGCGTTCAACATCGGACGTGGTGACACTTGTTATTGGTAAAATTGCCGTGGATTGAATGAGTTTGGCATTGTGGAGTATGAACGCCCTGGAGGCGGCGCTCCCACACACGCCACCCTCGTCGCCATCGCTCGCTCGTGGCCTTGATTGATTTTCGACTGCGTTCGACACCATTGACCATGGGAAGTTATTCGGCATGCTTGACAGATTCCCGCGCCTTGGCTACCGAAGCAAACGCTGGCTGCACAACCACCTGCGGGGCCGCTATATTAGGGTATGCACTCGCGAACAGCACTCCCGGAAACAACTTGCCTCAGCTGGAGTACCGCAAGGCGGCGTCCCGGGACCCCAACTCTTCCTCCACTGTGTGGATGATCTGCTGCGCCGCCTGGAGAACAGCTATTCTGCCGCCGCACTCATGTACGCTGACGACCTCACACTTTTTGCCTCAGGTGCGGACATTCATGCATGTGCTGCGGCAATGCAACCCGCCCTGTCACCTATAACGACATGGGCTGCCGAGCACAGCCTAAAAATCAACGTTGATAAGAGTGAAGCTGCTCTCTTCCACATCTCTTCACGCACACGATCTGACAAGGACATGGCCGATCTCCTTCCTGGCAATGGGAACCTACGTATTCAGTCACACTCGGTGCGGTTGCTGGGCGCCACGATTGAACAACTTCTTAATTGTGGTCCGCACGCTTCCACCGCTGCAAAGCAGACCATGCCACGTCGTTACCAATTACGACTGTTCGCAGAGGCTGGTGCGTCCCACCACACCATGCGATTCTTTTGATTGAATATGTTCATGGTGTGTCAATATATTATGGCGATGCAATTCTCCCATGCCTCGCCCTCATCTACCTCCATAATACGGAAGTACTGTACCGCGACAGTTGTACAACATCCCTTGGCATTAGTGCACCAACGGAAGATACATTTGTCTACTTGGAAGCCAATCTTCTCCCGCTCCGGAAGACACTCTGGCGTCGTGCACTTACACAACACGAACGCCATGTACGTTTCCATAATCACGAGGATTTGCGTTCCCTTATCTACTCGGAACCTGTGTCGCTGTCCATGCATAGGAAAGCGGTGACATCAATCCCGCTTCCAAGAAATGCAGTTATTAATGGATTAGAACGCGTATGTGACATTATTGGGACACCCCACAACCACAATCACGCTTTTCCTATTACCCAACATCGAATTATTCCCTGGGACACCGTGAGTTGCAATAAAGTGGAATTTTATCAGCCACTCTTTGCCAAAGACACCTCTGACGATGTCAAGCGCACGGCTTTTGATTCCCTTTACTCCTCTCTAGGAGATTATGATTTTGAATTATGGACAGACGGCTCTTCATCCCTTGCCGAACTCGCATCTGGATCCGCTGCACTATTGTACGACTCCACAAAGACAAATGATCTTCCTGTGGAGGTCCATCGTGCAGCAGCTGGCAGACTCGCACGCTCATATAGGGCAGAGTGACCCGCCATTGAAAATGGCATTATACGTCTCATACCTCCTCGTCTGGAAACATCCCAATCGCCCACACGAGTCCTGGTATCGACGGACTCCCTGTCGGCAATTGAGGCACTCCGCGTTGCCCCACTGGCCATGCGTGACCGCGTTACTGAGTAAATTTGGGTTATGCTGCTCTCCTTGGTGAAGCGAGTTCACCCTGCAGACCTTATATTTTCCCCATCGCACTGCGGTATCCCACGCAATGAGGCCGCTGACGAAGAAGCCACGATTGCAGAATCCCTGCAGCAATGAGGCATCCCAATCTGGCACGTGGACTTCCTTGCCGCCGTCAAGAGGTTGTACTGGAAGGAAGTCGAGGAGGAAGAAGAAGTCGTGCACACCGCACGCCAGGCGCTCGTCCGTGTAAAATAAAAAAAAGACCATTCCTGGTGTCCAGGCAGACATCGGGCATCGAATCACGTCTTTGTGCGCAGGTGCGATGCGACTCCTGCCCACTCCTCGGCAGACCGACACGCGCCCTGCAGGTCACAAGCAACCCTTTATGTCGGTGGTGCTGCTCCTCCCTCACACTGAAGAGGCAGGACCACCCCGACCTCCTCCGGAACCTCCACCTGGCGTGTCGACGGCACCTCCTCGTAGAATGACGAGCAGCGGATCAACGTCGCCCTGCCCAAGCTGCAGCAGCGTCTTCTCGTCCGTCCACAATATGAAGGCACACGCCCGACGCACTAACCCTGGCACTCCAATCGTCGGAGAAGGCCTCACATGTGGATCCTGCGACAGCTCCACAGTCTTCCCAACAAGTGCCTCACGCGCAGGTCACTACCGAAAATGTCAAGCGTATCAACGAGCAAAAAGCGGACAACGCACCTCTGCAAGCTCCAATGACAGCCGCAGCCCTTCAGCCACTCCTCTGCTGCAACCCACCAGCCGCTGAGCCCCGACAATCCACGGGAGGCCCTGCCGCACACGCTGTGGGAATGCCGCCGTCCTCGACAACTGGGCATCCGACTATTTGGAAACACACCCTCTCGCACGACAGCATCATTCAAAAAGGAAAAACTGGCCACATCGCTACGGACAGCCCGCAGGCCATTAACGAACAGTGGCTGCAAAGTATAACGAAACAAATAATTCTCTTTTCTCAGCATAGAAAAACGTCACCTTCACACTCGCAATTGCCAACAATGAATGCATTGCGCAATACCGCTCTGAGCTGCAATACTTCCTGGTACCATCCAGGTCCCTTGTCGACACATTGATGCGGATGGGCGTCCATCCATTCCTCCCAATGACGGTGCATGTCTGCGACGCACCCTCAGATCCAAAAGGCACGTCCCTCACCACAGCCGGGATCGACTTCGCCCTGTCGGCACGCATCGCTTTCTCAGAGGAGCAGGAGCACGTCAGGCTGGCAACAAAGCACCCGCCAGCACAACACATCACAAACAGAAGCACTGCAGACCGTGAAGTGACGTGGATCAACTGACGCATGCAGTACGTAAAAGAAAACATTTCATGGCTTGACAAGGATAAAAAACACTTACATTCGCTCAAAAGAAAAGAGAAAATACAACAAGAGAATTTAGGCGTCCGCAGTCAAAGCATGCCACCAATTCAAAAACAAGGATAATGGGTGCTCTCAACCACAAGTAAAACAACAAGTGAAAAAATAACAAAAAGAAGAAGCGTGGGACGACCAGCACACACACTCTCATTGCTCCCGTAAAGCAAAAAACACACACAGGGAGAGAGAGAGGTCGCCCACTCAATGCAATAAAAACAAAACAGAAACAGTTACGGTGCTCCGCCCATGCAGCCAGGCAGGACGGCAGCGGTGCGTGTGGTGCAAAAGAGAGCACCAACGGGCCTGCATGGGTGTGCATGCAATATATACAATGGGCACATTATGTGTGTGCTTCGTGGGGTGAGGTGACGGTGAGGTTTTAAGACACATTATTGAGGACAATCCCAAGTTTATCCTTAATTGCGCTTAGGTGTCGTGTGCCGTTAGGACTGATTCTTCTATTCATAGTCGAATAGGTTTTCTGTTCCTTCAAATCCCTGTAACTATAATATTAATGGAAGGAAATGGAAGAGGAAGTCCTTTTCTTATCATGCAGCCCGAGGCACTTTCTGTGCGCAGCTTGTTTTTGGTTGCTTTCCCATTTCTCGGTTCACTATCGACATTTGGGTGGACAATACTTTGCTACAAGGAGCGGCGAATAAAGGCAGTTCAAAATCACATGCCTTACGCGGGAGCCGCAACTCAATCATGAGTTTTTGGACTCTCGCGGGATACAGGCATCCTTTGCCTACGTACGGTCAGCAGAAAACCCTGCAGACGGCATATCTCGTGGTCGAGTGTTTACACTTCAGGAATTGGTGAAGGGGAGCGGCGGGGTCTTGTGGCAGGAGGACCCCAAAGTTTGCCACTTCGTGAGTTATAATATTTCTAGTACTAACAAAGTATATCGTGTCATGAGAGTGGCAATCCGAATATATATCCTTGGAGCAGACACTAAGGAGGTGGCGAACCCATGGTTTCTATATTTAACTTTTCTTTTTCATCCGTCATGCTTGAGTTCTTTAGATCATTTGAGGATCCGGCCAGCAGCCCAGCCCAATATTGCTTTGTATAAGCGGTTGTGGGTTGTTAGTTCTGCCACTGGGACGTTTTTCTTGTAGCAAACTGCGGTAGGCGATTAATAGCTATTTGCTTCTATACGAGCACCTTTGAAGGGGTGTTTGTTCCCTGGTTGCCGGAGCTTTTAGTGCGTGCGAGACGTCGGCGTTTGCTCGTTTATTTTCTATTATTTATTCATTTATATTATCGTGAGGCGCTGTTTTGCTCGATGGGGCGCAGTGTTGGGAAGGAGAACTGTTTGCGCAATCTGGCGTCACGCCGTGCGGTGCGCTTATTGGGAGAACAGCGGTTCTGTTGAACAAATGTTCAACTTGACGGCAAAATACTTTTGTCGGGATGCCGGAAGTAGAAAAAGATATGCTTAGCCCAACACCTGAAAAAGAGTGGCACCATCATTTCGAGTAAAAACCGCTTTTGCTTCAGAATTTATGACCATGAGGGTGTAATTTTCTCTTTGAGAAATATGGAAATGAAAAGCGACGTTGTTGAACTCAACAAGAGTCCTTTAATTGTGTAGCTCCTTATTGCATTGTTTCCCGGCAGCGGGGGATCATCGTTCCACCGTGCTAGCTCGGTGGCATGGCGTATCGTGTGCGTTTCACGCCCACTCCGGGGCCGGGACCTCCTTTTACGTTTCCACTCGGCAGGGCGGACGTGCTCGAAGACGGTGGCCGGCTTGTGGGTTATAGAATTTATTTGGAAAAAAACACGATGAACAAGCAATAGAAAAGCAATGGACCCCTATTTGGCACTCGATTCTGGAAATTTGCATTGCGTTCGACTGATTTGGGCGGTTGTTTTATGGAACTTTTCTTGGCGATACGAGCTTGGGATTCTTGCACTTGCCGCATGCTTGAGGAAGGGGCGTGTGGAAAATAATTCTTTCCCGATCTTATAAATCGTTACCAGAAGCATGGCTTTTTCAAGGCGCGGATCCACGTTGTCTGCCGATGCAGCCGAAGAAAGGCGACACACGCATGGAGTCCGCTGGAGAAACCGCTGTTGAAGTGATTTCAGGCCTTTTTTCACACACCGAGTAAATTTCGATCTCTTTTCTCCTGCCCATAGATGCGGGTTTCTGCGAGAGACTTTTTTCTGTAATTGAATATCTATATGAGTGGTGAAATCTCTTTTCCATCGCGCCACGCTATTTCCTTTGTACTATATATATATGGAGAAAGAGAGAGAGGGAGGTCTTGTATTTAGTTTCCGAATGGGAATGCGAACTGGAAAAGAAGACACTGTGACTTTATTTCTACGAAGTCCTCACAACCCTATTATTACTGCATGGTTTATTCTCCCTTTCCTGAGAAGCTTCCTTCTGCCCTTTAGGGGAAAGCATACAATCAAACATAACATGAACGAAATTATTACTCGCTTTTTTAGTTGTTCCCCACACTGTAAGCCTGAAGTTCTGGGCCGCATCCTTCATGACGTCGAGAATTTGTGTAACACCTTCCATTTCTACTGTCGTGACGCCACTTGGGAGTGACACAACAGGAAAAACTTTGCATCTATGGAGGCTTCCTATTACTATTAAGAAAAACAGCAGTGACCACACTTA